GTCAAGTAACAATAAAGTCGTAATTCCCTAGCGACTTGAAAAAGACGTCATTTGTTGCCTCAGTATGGCAGCCTGTCAGCCCCTTTGATGTAAAGCATCTGTCCTTTTCAAGGGAACAAGAAAAATCTGGGTCTCCTTTCTAGTCTGTGAAGTGGGAGACGATGTCATTTGTTGTATGGAGCCATAAGCCCCATTTTACTGGGTTGCAAGCTACTGCCTTTGTTAACATGCTAAAAATTTCATCAGCTGTCTTTAATCAAAGAAGATGTGTGTGGGGATTGTGGTTGTGTTGTGGTTGGGTTTCTTTTCCCCAGCCCATGAGTCACAGCTGGCAGAGAGCAAGGACACCAGTGTGTCATCAGACAGCCAGTCACCTGAACTTCTTGCATTTCAGTTATATAGCTAGGTAGTCCTTAATTCTGTTTAAAAACCTCTACATGCTCCTATTTGGCTATGTAAAGGCGTTTTATTTCCTCTCCTGTCCAATAATATTTAGTCATTTATGGCTTCTGTTAATAAAGTTTCATTTGAACATCTACTACTGTAAATAATTGCATGACCAAAAGAATTCACTTTATGAGAGGATAGACATTTGATCTGACATTCTTTGTTCCATAAAGGACTTCATCCTCCTATAGGACACTTCGTCTCAAAAGATGTAAAATAATATGATCTAAGATCAGGAAATGACCTCTAGAACATTGCTTCTCAAATTGCAATGAGCATACAAAATACCTGGGGATTTCATTAAAATTCAGATTCTGATTCTCTGGTTGGCACCTGAAATTCTGCATTTCTACCAAGTTCCCAGGTGATGCTGATGTTACTCCCTGGACGAGAGGCAAGGCTAAAAGACCGATAGGCACTCAGTCCCTTGGGCATCCAGTAAGCTACCCCTCATTGCACTGTGAAGGCTCATCTTTGAAGAGAGTAAAAACCATGTAACCGAAAGTAGTCTGCATCGAGTTTTATTTCTTATATTTTTAACAAACACATGAAATTGTTTACATAAAGTATCTGTTGACACTTTCAAGCAGTTACCTAAGGCTTGTACCTAAGTGCTCATTACTTAGGTCACATGTGAGCATGCATGCAAATTTCCTCAGTTTCCACTCACTCAAATAAGAGGCTATAGTGATGTTTTAAAAGCACTGCATAATAATGTAGGTTTGTAAAATAAAAACTTATTTTTACTCTGGTGAGATAGACGCATTCAAATGAAAATGTTACAGCTAAACACAGAAATCTATAGCTGCCTAAAATATTATGTTCTTAAACATATATATTTGTAGTTTACTTGGATTTTTTACTCTTTAGAGAACACAATTAGGGCGCTTAGGTGGCTCAGTTGGTTAGTGTCCAACTTCAGCTCAGGTCATGTCACATGGTTTGTGGGTTCACAACCCACATTGGGCTCTGTGCTGACAGCTGAGAGTCTGGAGCCTGCTTCAGATTCTGTGACTCCATCTCTCTCTGCTCTTCCCCTGCTCAAGTTCGTTCTCTCTCTCTTGCTGTCTCTCTCTCTCTCAAAAATAAGTAAACATTTAAAAAAAGAACACAGGGGCACCTGGGTGGCTTAGTCGGTTAAGCGTCCGACTTTCGCTTGGGTCATGATCTCGTGGTTCATGGGTTCGAGCCCCACATCGGGCTCTGTGCTGACTGCCAGCTCAGAGCCTGGAGCCTGTTTCAGTCTGTGACTCCCTCTCTCTCTGACCCTCCCCTGCTCACACTGTCTCTCTCTCTCCCCTAGAAATAAATAAAACATTAAAAAAAATTTTAAAAAAATAAAAAAAGAACACAATAAGTATACATAAACTTCTATTGGATCTGTTATCCCATTTTAACCTCATAATGTCCATTTTTTATTATTTTTGTTTAATGAGTAACATGCTAGGGTGGATAATGAAACCTTAAAATTTATTCCATGAGGCACCTGGGTGGCTGAGTTGTTAAGCATCCGATTTCAGCTCAGGTCATGATCTCATGGCTTGTGAATTCGAGCCCCGCATCAGGCTCTGTGCTGACAGCTCAGATTCAGTGTCTCCCTCTCTCTGCCCCTTCCCCAGCGTGCACGCTCTCTCTCTCTCTCTCTCTCTCTCTCCCCCTCTCCCAAAAATAAATAAACATTAAAAATTTAAAGAAAAACACAAAAGCTATTCCAAAAACACTATGATAATTAGCATTCAGAACTCATTTTGATGACAGATTTCACTTCCTAATTGTGTTGTTTTAGAGTAATATTCACTTTTCTTTTTTCATCATTTGATGGAAGGGAAGTGACTCAAGTACTCTGAGGACAGAGGAAACCAGGCTGCAGTTCAGTAACAAAGCCTATTTATGTGGCTTGGTTTACTTCACCACTTGTCTTCACCTCTATCTCTTCTGGTTTAACCTAGGAAAGTCTATAAAGCTAGTAAAGGTAGAGCCAGGTCACAAATCCACAGGGCTTGGATTTGGTGTTTCCTCAGGCACACTGACAGGAGATTCTGCTTTGGGTTCTGAGGTGATAAGGAGACAGAAAATAAGAGGAAAAAGACAATAATATTGTATTCTCCTGTAATCTTCGCAGCAGTTCTATGGAGCAAGTACTATTATCATTCATTTCTATAAGAAACTGACGCCTCAGTGTTCCATCAACTTGTCCAAGTGCACACATCTCTGGGCCAGAGCTGGCATTGGCACCCAGGCATTGTGACTCGGTAACTTTTGAGTATCTTCAATAATCCCCATAACTGGTGATTACACTTGGGCACAGATACTTTAATAATAAAGCGATTTAAGAAATAACGACTATCCCACAGAGCCATCTGGTTTCTCTCAGCCCCTGTCTCTGGGCCTCTTCTATTTCTGGCTAGCCAGGAATGATCTCCAACCGTGGTTCTCCATCCCCATTTCCTCTCTTCCCACTCATGATAGCGGAAGTCTGAACATTTTATCTACTAGCATCTCTAGTAATTCAGGCTGTGAGCACACTTTCGCATCACTTTAGTAGCTATTTATTGATAGTTATGCTAAGCTATGTGAGGGAATAGAATTCAGAAATGCATCTAGGCATCAAGAGACTCAAGATAATAATGGGTGAAATGATAACAAAGTTCTGTTAGGAAGACAGAGTAGGTGGTGTTATTTTAGGTTTCCAGCATGGACCTTCATTGCACATGTAATTTAGAGCTCTGTTTATTTGGATTGGGGCTTAAAATTAGAAACTGACCATCTGTATTTTTCTTGATAAGTGTGGCGTCATCCTGACCAAAAGGTTTTTGAAGGTCAGGAATAGCTTATATTTGCAGCATTATTTTTGGAAAAGAAAAGAGGATGTAGACAAGTTTGAAAGTAATGCCCTATAGTTGAGGACTTAAGAGAATTTTGCTGTGCATCCACAGACAGATAGTGTAGCTATTGGAATAAAAAATTGTAAAGTATATATAAAAACATAAAAATGTTTCTATAAAACCATGCATGTGCTCTACCTCAAGGAGACGGAAAGAAGAAAAAGTGAACTTGACATTCGCAGTGTCTACTATGTACCACATTGTTGATTGTCTCATTTTTTTTCTGACAATATGCAAAAAAGTTGATGTTATTTTAATATTTCGTAAATGAAAGAATTGGGCACAGATATGTTAGGGGACCTCACCAAGGTCACAGTCAGTGGTTGAGCAAGAATTCAAACTCAGACTTCTTAAAGTCCAAATCTGATCATCTCTTTCCAGTTGGTTTATTCTGAGCTATTCAGCCCTGCCCCCAGCACTCTTTTTGGTTCAGAAATAACTGTTATTACAGTAAAGAGTGGAGTCACATGAATTCAGCTGAGAAATGCATGCATTTTGTGAAAATACTAAATTGTAAAAATTATTGTGAATTACTTTACACTGCATCACAGAGTTGCCAGGACAATTACTCCATTGACACCATCTGCAAAATGAAAACACAATCTTAGCATAAACACATTTAGTTTTATCTGATATTTGAAATACGCATTTGTATAACTGCCAAAATATTAACTGCTCTATATTAGCCAGAAAGTTCGAGCGACAAGACAAGAACAGAACTGCCTTTATTTGTAGAAAGCAAGCAAAAAAAATTTTTCTTTCCTTTGGGAAGGGCTTTTGTTGTTGTCAACTAATATGTGAGAATTCAGGGATGGAGACACTTGTCTGAAACTAGGGGTACATAAGTCATACTTTTTTTTTAACTCTGCCTTTCATGTGATAACTTCGTATTGCAAATATCACATATTACAAAAATTTCTTTGTTCAAGAATCACAACTACCTTTAAACAAAGAATGTAAAACTTCTGACAAAGGTTACGTTTTTCTGCACCACCTTTTTTCTGTTTTGGTATGTTTTTACTTTGCTGTATTTACAATAAACATTCACCAGGAGAAGTTTAAAAATTTGACTTAAAAATAAGAACTTTGTCTCATTAAACTACTTGGGTTAGATTTGGAAAGGACGTTAGTGGTTACATTTGAATTTATTTTTCAGAGTTTCTACCCTGAAAACATCAGTAAAATTTTACAATGTTTTAACTTATTTACTTAGAGTTTGCATAAACGGCCTGGAATATTGCTAAGGAGAGGAAACAAAGAGTGGGCAGTTGTAGATTTGTCAACTTTTCCAACTTAATTTTTTTATTTCTTGTCATTGAGTTGAAAAAAAAGTTCACTTCTATCTGAAATTGTATAACTTTTAACTGTTTCCTTAGAAAAGTACAGTCTGACGAGACTACAAGGTTTTCATATGTAACCTCTGCTTTCTCATTAAAGAAGATTTTTGTAGCTGCCCGCCCTATTTAAAGCAGAGTGCACCAGCTGTTTGAAAACTTTTTTTTATTCCTAGTTATCTTGATCTATTTGTATAAATTGCTAAATTGCTTCCATAAAATGCCTCCAGACATAAGGGAATCATTTGCATAAGTGGATGAAGATTTTTGTCTTCCATGAAGGAAAGCTTGAAACAAGCCTCTTAATCATTTTCCTCCCTCTCTCTGGTTCCAGTATCCGGCGGCTCTGATGAACCTGGGGGCTATCCTCCATCTCAACGGCCGTCTCCAAAAGGCTGAGGCCAACTACCTGCGGGCACTGCAGCTCAAGCCCGATGATGTCATCACGCAGTCCAATCTCCGTAAACTGTGGAACATCATGGAAAAGCAAGGCTTAAAGACTTCCAAGACCTGACACGGGAGGGCATACCTCGTCCTCCTCCTTACTGGAAAGCTGGCTTCGTTAATGAACAGACCTTCCCAGCAGTGCTAGGACAAGAGCTAGTATGGACTTCAAGATGGGGGCAGGGGTCACTGGGGTCACTGCCACTTCTGGGAGTATTCACTCTGCTGTTGGCACAGCCGTTAACACCAAAAAGGGGAACATTGGAAACCTCCTGAAGGATGTAATTGTTACCCATAGAACTATTAAACCAGAGCACTTAAAACAGGATCTCACGGCATTGGGGCGAGGGGGGTGGGGTGGGCAGGGAATCTAAGTTACAAATTTTGTTCATTTTTGAAAGCTAATTTAGAAATTATATTGTTCCTTAAACACTGTGAGAGGAAGTCAGAGTGTCCATTCAGCCCTGCTAAACTATTAAGAGCAAGTGTTAATAGGGAATGATTAAAGTGTCGCGTGAATTCCAGCGTGCTGGCGGGTTGTCCTGATGCTGCTGTCTTCCCTCTTCGGGACGGCCTGCTTACCAATTTGTGAAACTTAGAGAAAAAAAAAAACTTTTTTCTAAGTATGTCAAGACCCGTCAGAATCTATAGTTGTTTCCTGACAAGTGCACATCACATTTTATGATTTGGATGTCACAGTCTTCATTTCTTTTAGACAGCATTTGCTTTTCATGTTCTGAGCTGAGGTAACCAGCTTTCACACTGGTGTTGCAGGAGAGGCCGGGCAGACCTTATACGTGTCAGGCAGGCAATGTTTACTTTTAACGTCACCAATGTCACCCCAGACCACCTAGGAGAATTCATTGTAGTAATTCTTAGGCTTTTGAAATGACTATACCTGGTTAATGTACATGCTAATATAGGGATTACATCCAAAAGAGCTTAAAAGTGTTCTAATTCCAATAACTAACCAGCAGCTATTAGGCAAAAGGGAACGTGCTATGCACTTCCCAGATGTTAATGGTTAAGAAATCAAGTCTGAGCAAAGCAGTGTATAATAATGGTTGCCAATGAATGTTATATTTTGGAAAGAATTGGTATAAAATGCTAATCACTTTCTGACAGGTTCCTAAACAGCAATGCAAATAAGTTTTTAAGGCGTTATTTTTATCATATTTTGCTCTTCCTTAAAGACATCAAAAATGACTTACTTTAGGCTGCAGTAGAGTATAGCATCAGCCTGTGTGTTTTTATGTCTTCTGCCATGTGCTTTTCACAGTTAAACTATTTTTTCACTAGCAAATCAGTATTTTATTTCTTTATCTAGTAGTAACCACTTTAGTGATCATTACACAAGTAAAAATGAGGTAGAGAAAAACATTGAACAATGTTTGACTTACAAATTTTGCTACTAAAAACTAACTTTGCAAAAAAAAAAAAAAAAACAGTTCACTATCACCTTCTTCATAGAGAAAGTAGCTACACAATACCCTACATATTTATTTATTTATTATTCTACCATAGCAAAATAACAAAACTTGATTCAGTAAGTCAGTTGTTTGCAACTGAAAATTAGCTTTTTCTCTTTTCTTTAACTTTTCATGTATATATATTGGGCAGCATCCCCACTAAAAGGAAGCTGGACGTGCAAATAAATCATATTTTGTTTTCTCCATATTTTATATGTTTTGCTCCTTATCTGAATAAAGTGGGATGAAGAATTTAAAGTAGTGTTCCTATGGCATTAGTGTGTTTGAAAGAAGGGCAGTTGTAGTGAGAGAGGTTTGTTGATGGCATTAGTAAGAAGGCCCTCCTAATATGTATATTATTTTGTAAACATTTCATCGAAGGGCCAAAAGTTAAATTATAACTAGATCACTGTGTTTTTCAGAACGATATTTAACATTTAAAAACAGCACACCCGTGGTCAAACCAAAAGTGTGGGTTGAAGTGTATTTTTCATCTTCTAGTGCATTGGCAATTGCAAAAAAAATAAATAAATAAGGAATTTAATATAAGGATATAGAGATAAATTCAATGTCTAACAGTTTTATTTATTTAAATAGTTATTGACCTATGATGACTTCCTATTCTTAACATTTTATGTCTTTTTGTTGTTGATGTTCTTCCTTCCAGACACTTGGTTCTTAATAGGTTCGCTGATTGCACAGTAGAGGCACTTCATATTGACCCAGTCCCCAGGTAGCATTAATAATTGGGCCTGTGTCATAAAATGCATGGATGTTTAATAGCTAAATGTCCCTGACACCTTTCACTACAGGGCTGGGCTTAGTAACTGACCAACTTGGGGGGAGGTCGGGAGGGGGCGCTATAGAACATGGTCAAAAAATGTCTCCGCTCAGGGATTTATGGTGGATTATTGCAGACAGTGCTAAAAATATAGAGCACAAGACAAGTTTACTAAATTAAAGTTTTATTTTTTGAGAAACTGTTATTTGTATAAATTATCAAGATTTGTAGGCTTTCCTTTTGTAGAAATAATTGTTTTATGTGCCAGAGAATTTCAATTTTGTTTTCAACAATAAAGCATTGATAACAAATATGTCGTACAGGCCTTTTTTAAATCTTCTGCAGCAACAGCACGTAAGGTTCTCATGGATTTTAACAGAGACTGGAAAAAGTTTTTAAAAGGTAGAGATTGAGCGTCAGAGACATATCATGGCTCACGTATAACCAATAATAAGTAATCATTAATTTTTAATAGTTATAATAATATTAAGGTTCCCCATAACACCAGATTTTCCACTTTCCAAAAAAAAAAAGATGGCATAAGTTTTCTTTTCTTTTATTGATGAGCTATAGGAATGTGTTAGGAAATATGCCAAGCATGACCCGTTCATAATTCATTTGGTTAAAATGGCCATATTTAGAAGACCCTGATACTCTAGTCCTGATCCTAGAGGAAAGCACAATGCTATTTTGTTGAAAGACAAGAGTACGACACATTCAGGTTTCAGTTATAAGAAAACCCTTGGGTTCTAGACAGAAAATTTGATAGGCTTGTTAAATTTGTCATTATATAATAACATAATTATATATTGCTGAATTCCTTTATTAAGGATAAAATTTAGCTATAAAGATTTTACTGTACGCTAAACATCATATGGATGTGTGAGGTTATATTCCAACTTTATAGTTAAAGAAGCCAGAGCTCAGAGGTATGAAATTAGCTCATCCAGGTCACGAAGCTAGCAAGCAGCAAGCCTGTCCCCGTATTGTCCTGTGTCATGTGAGCACTCAGGCTGTGATCCCAAGTCTGGAGACAAGAGTTCTCATCCCTTTTGGCATTTTCTCTAGCTATTCATCTTTCATAAATCACATTCCCGACCCTTCATACTTCAGATGATCACAAAGCTGAAAGGAAATTCCTGTGGTCTGAACGTTGATGTCCTCCTAAAATTGGTATGTCCATAGATTATGTTATTAGGAGGTAGGGAGCAGGGGAGTGATGAGGGCAGATCCCTCAGGAGTGGGATTCACTTGATCTTACCCAAAAGGCCGAGAAGTGATAGGAGTGGGACTCATATCCTGATGAGAGAAGCTCCAAAGAAGTCTCTCACCCTTTCGACCATGTGAATACAGTGAGCAGCATGCAACCCAGAAATGGGCCCTCAGGTGACCACGCTGGCGCCTTAATCTCAGATCTCCAGCCTCTGGAAGAAAGAAGTTTCTGTTGTTTATAAGCTTTAGTCTTTGGTATTTTGCTACAGCAACCCAAACAAACACAGAGGTAGCACATGAAAAAAATCTAGAACATTTAGATTGTGAGAAGTCCTCAGAGAGGATTTCAGTGACTGTGTAGTTATACCTATTTACTTTCAATCTAAAGAACATAAGGCCCCCCATACTAGGTGGCTTAACTAAGTTCCGCAAACTAGTTAGTGGTAGTTACATGACAGGCTATAGGAATGTCAATTATTAAGTAGACTAGCTACATGAAGTAATTGAATAATGCATTGTTTTTTTAATTTTTTAATGTTTTTTTTTGAGAGACAGAGAGAGAGAGAGAGAGCACACAGAGGGGAGAAAGAGAGAGAGAGGGAGACAGAATCCAAAGCAGGTTCCAGGATCTGAGCTTTCAGCATAGAGCCTGATGCAGGGCTTGAACTCACAAACCGTGAGACCATGACCTGAGCCAAAGTTGGATGCTTAACTGACTGAGCCACCCAGTTGCCCTCATTCTGTTTTTAAGTCAAGGTACAGCTTTATCTTAGATCAAAAGCACTCTACTCTAAAGCCAGTAAAGGCAGGGGCCATGTCTTTCTTTTTTGGCACAATTTCTTCAGCCTGGCACACTGTGAGTAGAACATAAAACACACTATAAATTAGAATTCCATCTATCATTTGTTCTTTATCAGCTAGATATTTTTGAAAATCCAGTTCCTAAAAAGTTGAGATTGGGAATTCAAGAATTCTTCTCATTTGATGTTTTCACCTTAAGACTGTGTTTTCACATAGTAATCATTTCTAGTACAAAGAAAGGAAATGCATCTAAGTCTTGGTTATTTTTGCTACTACGAGGGAGGAAACTGGGTTTCTGGGGATAACTTAATAATTACAGTAATTCTGATTCATTTGTATGTACTGGAATATGAGTTTCTACTTAATTTAAATATTTTCAATACTATAGAATTTGCTTGCCACTATTTACAACTCATGAGTGTTGCTAGAAAACTTGGCTTAAGCATTGGAACTGCCAACCACTGTGAGGAGAGAACAAGCTGAAATGGGAATGCAATTGCACTAACTCTGCTAGGCTTCACCTTCCAGTAGAGAAAGATGCATGTGTAGCAGGACTTTAACCTTCTTGTTGTGTCATTTTGGGTGGTCTTCCTGCAGGATGTAATCAGAGAGGCCTTTGAATTGGCTTTCATTCCATTGGCCACGTCACTGCATATTGGCCTTCTGCTGTTGTTATTCTGTAGAGCTTTGAGATGTATTTTTCCCCCTGAAGTACTGCTGGGTTTTGAAGTTGCATTCACTTGAAATTTCTGTGACAGTTTTCTTCTAAGTTTTCAAAATGTTTCCTCAACTTTTTACAACTGCTCTCTGGTATTATTGTGTTATTTGTCTGCTTCCAAAGAGTGGACAAAAGAGCTTTTGTTTAGCAAGAAAATTGTTGGTTCAAGTAAAAAAGTTACAAATATGTGAGGCAACTTGATGGGGTCACTAATAAATACCTATAGAGATCTAAGAACCTGATACATCTGAAATGGTGTTCAGGAAATTTTCTAGAGGCCCTAAAAGGAGAAAGTCAAGGTGGAAAAAGAATGGATAGACACATGGAGAATTGACTAATAATTGCTGCTAGAAATAATTAAATTTTTGTCAAAGAAGTGGAGGATTTGGTTAGAAAACTTTGAGACTGCCCTTTTGGATTGTCCAATAGTCTGCCAAAATTGAGCCACTGTGTTATAGGGAAAATAAGTTAAAAATAAGAGATGGGTTTATAATATAAACAGGAGAGGCTGAAAAAATGCTCAACCAACTGACTAGGTTAGAACTATATATTCCAATCTGAAATATATTTAACTTTTCTCCTACCTCCTTTGGATTTGACAAGAATTACACTTATTCAAGACAAAGCTGTCAACCATTCTCCAGTCAGATGGAGAGAATAGAGTTCCATGTTTCAAGTAATAGCTCAAGACTTCTAGAAAGACTTTTTCTAATAATTTCTATCATGTGTCTTCCTTTTCCACCCTAAAGGACACAAAATGAATATCTCCTCTGAGAACTTCCTCTTGGTAATATCACTGAGCAGCTAGATACTATAATGAAGTTGTCAAAAACATATGGAGAAGTCAAGCAATTTAATTTGTTTCCAAAAATACCAAAAAGTATTAAAATACCTCTTTCATCTGGATCCTTCTCTCGTATTGTGTAAAAGACAATTTGTGACCAGAAAATCAGAATTGGTAAGGAAGGAGAGGGAGGAGTATGCATGCATGGAGACAAAACAAATGACTACCTTTGATTTTAATGTAGGCCCTTGTTCTAATCTCCTTTAGCAAGTAATGGCCATATTGACTATAACAATAATAATTAACTTCCTAACTCTGCAGACATCAACTTATTAAATTACATTGATACAATAATCTCAGTAGGTTTTCATTTTTTAATTCTCTTTTGTGTTATTTTAAATATGTTGTTATGCTTAATGTTTGGCTATTTTGTTTCCTTTGCGAACAACTTCTCTTTTGTAAATGTGCCTTTGTCTGTACTTTGTGATGATGACAATTTGGGAAATTCCACTGAAATTATGGTATTTCAAAGTATATTTTTAGAAATCTGTCCTATGCCACCAAATATTTAGATGTTACTATATTCTATTAAAATTTAATTGAATAATTTTATATTATATGATATGAAAGAGTACATTAATATTATGTTTTATTATATCCCATTAGGCATCACTCTCCCAATTACCCTGTCAATGATATTTATAGAATGTGATTATACCAGCAAGTCCTATCTCTTTCCACAAAGTAAGTCAAGGAACTTTTTGGTTAATTTGTTGTCACTTCTGTTTATAGAACTAATTATTGTTTGGACTTGTATTTGTTCCAAAAGTTGGCTCTATGAGTGATGTTGAAGATGAGCCAGTCTGTGGCTATTTCTCAAGTGGCCACAAAGTGGTCTTGTAGAAATGCTAGTAGTGACATCAGAGAGCCAGACAAAACATTAAATTTGACCTCTGCATTTTACAAATGAGGAAGCTGTAGTTTGGGGCAGTCAAATGACATACCTAAACTTACACGTTCACAATGGATCCAATGTGGCAGGGAACGTACTGAAGTATGAACTACAGGTTACATGTTTCGTGGCCCAATACCAACCACTCAGAGTTTGTAAAAAACACCTCTTCTTTGGAGTAGAGGTAGACACAAAGCTTGCCAGGAAAGATTTGATCATGGATTCTTTATGGATTGCATACATGGAAGATATTACTGCCTGAAACTCCTATATCACTAAAATTTAGTTTGGGTCCCTTGTTTAAGACATGAACTCTTCATTTTAGAATAAATTTATGAAGCATACCTACCCAAACACAGCTGGTCTAAGTAGAAGTCCTACACAGAAGCATTAGGGTATGTTAACCCATTTCAAAGGTCCATTCCTATCATCTGATGACGTGCTCAGTTATTTCTTCTGACCTGGCCACAGTGCATCAGTGATCCAAAGTTCATTTGCCTTTTGCAACAGGTACAATGTGTCAGATTCCAAGACACATAGACATACTGGATGGGGAACCTTCATGAAGACACTGGTGGTGTTGTTTTCTCTCTATTTTACCTGAGTCTATTCTATGTGCCATTAAAGATTTTTGGAGCATTTTAGCTACCTAAAAACTCTTTATAGGTCAGAGAATAATTATAAAGTATGGATAGCATACTTTATATGCTATTTTTATATTTTATATATTTTATATTTTATATTTAATATAAATGTATTTATATTAAATATATTTGTAAAAATATATTTAAATATTTTATATTTTATACTTTTATATT